AGTTATAATTGAATTTTGAACTGATGTAGTGCATGCCTCAGCTCTCTAGAGGCTGAGGCAGGAGGATCTTTCTCAATTCGAGACCAGGCTGAGTTACAAAGTGAGCTCAAGCCAGCATGGGCTGCATAGCGAGACCCTGTCTCAAGAGTTCAATCCCCGGTTCTGCCAAAATAAATAAATAAATAAAGAAAGAAAAGAAAGAAAGAAAGAAAGACAAAAAAATAAACTAAAATAAAAATTGAATTTTTTGCCTCAGCAGATTTACTTGGATTTCTTCAGTCATAGTTACGGTAATAGTCCTTCCGCCACATAGTATAGTCGAGGCGGCACTCAGGTCTAGGCTGCGTAGAATTTGTGATCCTTCTGCCTCAGCTTCCATAGTGCTGGGATTATAAGCAGGTGCCACCTTGCTCAGACCAACATTTACTTTGTTTAATTCATTTCTTGTCTTTAACTCAGGTGTTTTTTTTTTTTTTTTTTTTTTACTAAAGTAATCATGTTTCATAAAGAATGTCAAAAAATACAGGTAAATAAAAAGGCTTTAATCCTACCCTCTAATCTGCTGGTAAAGTTTAGATGAGTATTTTCAGGTAAATCAACTGACATATTTTTCACAGGAGATCTTATTACACAAATTACTCTTTAACATTTCATTTTTTGCTGGTAATATAACAGTATTGCTTTTTGTGACTCTCATTTGAAAGGGTCTCACTGGAAGGTGAAACTCTTCCTTGGCAAGGGTCACACTGTACGTGAGGTCATGACTAAGAGCGGTGGTGTTTGGGGGAGGCAGACGGCGCAGGCCGCTCAGAGCGGGAGCTGCTTGAGCAGGGGTTCTTCTCGAGGCCCACTTAGTTTCGCGCAGTCGCCGCTTGTGCTGTGCCAGCTAGTAGATCCAGCGTGCGGCTGTTCACGTCGAGGCGTTGTAATCGCAGTGCTAGTGCAGGTGGGTGCCTGCGTTGTGGGCTGGCCTGGGCTTTAGCAGTACCTTCATATTAAAATAATTGCACAAGAAAACAACCGCGTGGTTTTATTTTTGGAGCACTGGGAATTGAACCCAGGGCCTTATGCATTTTGGGCAAATCCTCTACTACTACACTATATCCTCAGCCTGAAAAATGTGATATATTGAAGTGGTTCATCTAGCTGCAGTGCTATAATTTTTTATGTGTCAGAGTGAGAAGTGAGGAAGCTGTTGGAAAGAAAGGAATGTAAAAAGTTTTAGTGTTTGATTTTTATATTCATGAAACAAATACACATGTGTTATACCTGTGTGCATGCTATGGAAATAGCCAGTTCTGGTCTTAAGTAGTTGAGTCTTGAAGTAACAGTTGTCAAAATAATCAAGGCTCCTCCTATAGGGCTGTATAATGTACATAGGTTTCTTTTCCCATTGGAGTATGCTACCTAAGGTAGAGTAGGTAGCTAACCAGTGGTCCCTTCCTTGGAACTGGGGATTCAACCTGTGCTTTGCACATACTAAGCAGTGATCTCCCACTGAGCTACATCCTTAGCTCATTTGTATTCTTTTATTTATTTTTTATTTTGCAGTACCAGGGACTGAACTCAGGACCCTGTGCTTGCCAGGCAGGCACTTATTCTACTGAGCTATCTCCCCAGCCCCCCATTGTATTTTTAACCTCTTCATTTTATGTGTTACTATTTGCTGGTGAGCTGCTGTAGTTGTGTGTGTGTGTGTGTGTGTGTGGGGTTTGGTAGCCATTTCTGTTAGCTGTACTTCATGTGTATTGCATATGTTGCTCAAAATGTGTCATAGTAAAGGAAAATAAGCCATGTAAATGATGTGGTCTTTTTACTGAGAAATGATGCATTTATTTTCTAAAGTGGAGACTGGAAATTCTTAAAAAATATGGGGCTGGGAGTCCTACATTGCATGTTTGTGAAGGGATATACAAATGTTTTCATTTGTTAAAACGTGCAAGAACATTTTGAGTGAAATTCAAGAAGTGTATTTAGAATTATTTTATACTTTCGCTATTTAAAAAGTTGGTATTTTTGAAGCTTCACAGTGAATTGTTAGTGTTCCATTTTTACATTTATTGTGTGAACAGTGACCTCATTTTTATAAAAATGGCACACATATACTCTAAAGAGTTAGAAATTAGTCTTACAGTAAGTGGCAGAGTTTTTCATAGTCACTAGCTTTGGGAAACAGCAAAGTGGCAGAAAGAACGGACTTCGGGCCCAGACACGCCTCAGTTTGGTGCCTAACTGCCACGTACCTGCTGCAAGGCAGGTTCTTACCCTTGGTTATTTTCGTTTTCTTTTTCAGTTAAATGATGGTAATACATTTGGTACTGCTAAGTGAGGTAGCACACATAAAGCGCTTGGCTTACACAAGATGTTAATGTTTCCTTTCTTTTCTCCTGTGTGTATTGCTTTAAAATATCTTAGAAACCACTCGGATGTTTCACATGACGAATGTTAATCTGTGTTAAA